GCGGCTCTCTTGACAGTGATAGCGGGCATTGCGATGTGAACCTTCCTCGCAGTTTTTTTTCACAGTTGCCGGAGCTGCTACTTTGGGCTTGGCCTGTGCTTTGGCCTGTTGCTTGGCGTTAGGCGCGGGAGCGGATGCTTTGGGGTTCGCCGGTTCAACGTGCTTGTATTTGCACTGATCCCCTTTCGTGCACTTTCCTTCCCTCCATGCGTAGCAGACCCCATCCCTCTTCGGTGAAGGAGTCTTCTCTGCTTTGCCTTCGCCTTTGCCCTTTCTTTTATTGTTGTCCAACTTGTGCTTGCGCTTGGGGTTTGAGACACCCTCTCTCCTTCGTGTAGTGGAAGACGCACGGCCATTCCTTCTTCTTTCTGTTCTGGGCTCATGCTTTTCGCTTTGCCTTTTCCTTTGCCCGTCTTGTCGTGGTCTTTCACTTTCGCTTTAGGCAGCACAGGCGCTGCTGTGGTTCCGTCGTCTTCTTTCCCGGAATTTCCTCCTTTTCCCTTTGTCTTCTTCTTTCCGCTGGTGCAGCATTCTTGTTGCCGCTCAGCAGGTTCTTAACTGACTTCTCCTTCATGTCGTAGACGTAGTCCTCACGATCGGTCCGAAGTTGTCGATCAATCACAGCCGGCAACCGCGCATAGGTATTGAAACCAAATTCCAGCTTTCTGATACAGGATGTCCCGGAGCGTGATTTCTCTGGGTGTATCCCCCTTCCTCAGGTTGAGCAAGATGTCATACCATTTGTTGCGGAATACGGACATGTTCTTGTCCCCTGAGTACATCGCGCGCTCGGCATCTCCTTCGCACAGTGCTGACTTCCCAGTCGGCGGCCTATGCTGCGGCCCACGACCAAGCCACGCAACTCCTTCTGGGCGGGCTTGGGGGTGTTTGGCCTCGCGCCCGCACCTGCGCGTTCCTCCCTGCACGCAGGCCTTCGCTTGCTGCGCGCAGAGCGCGCGGCCCCATCAGCCTGCTGGGGCGCGTGGGCGGACTGCCTCCCCGTCCTGGCGCAATGCCAGCCTGAGGCTGCTGAGGCCGCCGCGCCCGGCCTCCGCGAAGCAGCCGCATGCGGAGACTTGCTCCGCCACCGCGGCTGGGACGGCTGCGCCGCCGGCTCCGCGCGACAGCGACTGTGGTGACTGGCCACATGGTTGGCAGGTTCGCCCGTCTCGTTCTTCACACCTGTTTTCGCGAGCGCGAGTTTCTGCCCGCCTTGATGGGGCTTCCTTTCGGTCCCCGTCAGGGCCTCAGAAGGAGCCAGCCAATGGAGCGAAAATGTAACCTGGAGCTGGATGTGGCAGTGCCCTGCCAAGTGGCGAGGGAGCGCCTGGAAGGCTGGTCCTGCCCACTCAGGAGTTGTAAGCGCATACGTGTCATCAAGAAAGGCAGCTATGCGCTCACCTGCTGGCAGTTCGGCATTGGCTGCTCGCAATGCGGGATGCTGCGCGCAGAACAAGGGCAACAGCCATGCGGACTGGAGGTCAGGCAGCTGCGGGAGCTCGGCGAGCAGGCTCTGTTTGGTCAGCCGCTCGCCAACGCAGCGTTCGACAAACTCCGGGCTGCCGATGGGCACGCCCAATGCGAGAAAACCACGCTCAGGCGATGGTTTGTCTGACCACACAGCAAGCAGCCAGCCCCCCAGACAAGTCCATCGGCAGTTCCAACTTAACTTGCCTTGCAGGCACTCGACCCTGTCGACTTAACAACCATTCTTGCAGCGCAATGCCTGCACGTTCCAATTCGTCCCGCCGAATTGCTCGTGCACGCCTTGGCGCAGCACGACGGCCCTCGCTGCTTCGCAGGCGCTTCGATCAGCGATCGCCTGGCGGTCTTTTTGGACGATCTGTGCGCGTTCACTTTGGCCAGTCGTGCTCGCGACAACACTGATGTTGCCACAGGCGCGGTCGCAGAGCACGCTAAAGTCCCCTCGAACCTCGGAAAGGCCTGGGTGTGCTGCCGGCCGCCGAGCAAAATGCCACTGCGGCGTTTTGGTCCTCGTGGGCTGACAGCCTGCCAGCTATCCACCGCAGCAACCCCGGCCCTGCAGGGGACAGGAAGCTGCCCCCGCGGATTTGCAGCACGCCCGTCCGCACAGTGACAGCCTCGACGCAGCATCCGCTGTTATGCTGTTGTCGCACTCCGGCCCGTGCTCCTCCTGATCCTCTCTAAAAACAGCCGCAAACACCTCCAGTGTGCGGGGCGCGCCCCTTCAGGGATTTTTCCAGGGATGGGATAGCAGTTCTGCAATGGCTCCAAATGTAGCCCGGCTACGTTTACGCCGTTTAGGGAAGATCGTGGAGGGTCGACCACAAACCGTGGTAAGCCTGAGCTGTTTTCTTCTTTCTGTTGCCAGTCTATGTCGACGTCCTTGCGCAACAGCACGGCTTAATGAAAAGGCCCGTGCAGAGTTTTGCGCCGGCAGGGCCATTAATTATCTTTGGACCCGTGGATAACAATGAGTGTCCCCCCGCACAAGTCAACCAGCAACCGATCATCCTCGAACGCAAAAACACGCACCCTCACACAAAACCAGCCAGAACATATATACATATATATATATATATACATACATATTCAAAAAAAAAACTCGCTGCTGCTCACGCTTCCCCCCGACGCGCGCGCCGCTGCTTTCCATTATGCTTTCGGGCCACCCGGAGTTCTAATTTGTTTTTTGTGTTTTTTGTTCTTCCTCCCAACGACACTGCCCGCCATGGCATTTTTTCATGGCCAAGGGGCCGACGACTTCCATGGGAAGGTTGGCGCCACCGTAAAGGTGCAGGAGCACTTCCTCCAAAGGGGGTCTGGCAGCACGCCGCTGGAGCCGGGACCCGCCGGTATACAACTGGCTATCCCTTAAGCACATCCGGGGCCGCCGGTATATACGTGGCCTGCACAAACAGGCGGCTGGACACCCCTCAGCGAACGACAACGGCAAGCGTGCCACTGCTGCGTCGTCCCGCGAACCCGCAACTGCACGTCCTGGAAGGGCGCCGGCACGTGGCCACTCGAGGCTGGACAGCACGCCACCAATAGCGCGAGGCTGCAGGGCACATCACCCCACATGCCTTCCATCGCTTCGCGGCCCTGGCTCCGGCCCCTTGTGTTTTTAGGCGGCCCCACCCTCCTCCCCTCCGGGCGGAGCACCTTTACGGGGCGTTCGCTGAACTGTGGTCGAATCTTCCTGAGCGCAGGTACTCATCTTTCCTTGCTCCTTCGTGTGCGGGGTCAACGGGGAAACTTTGGGAGTGGTCCGAACGGGAAAGGCCATTTGACTGGCGAGCTGCCTCCAAAACAAATAAGCGTTGCGCAGCGAGGCCGCATTAAGGACCAGAACCTCAGCGAGAGCCGCGGGAACCGCTAGCAGGCGGCGTTACGTAGATGCGACTCGGCTCACCACTGGGTGATTGCTCGGCCGCAAAAGCGCTGTCTCGCAAAAGTGGATGTTAAGCACCGTCAGCCGCTCCTGCGAGGGGCTGCTGCCAGGATGGGCAAAGTCGTCGGCTGCTGCCGCCTCACGCAACGCTTTGGCTGCATCAGAGCGACGCTGGTCAGCCCAGGCCGCCCAGCAGGCGGGCGCGGTGCACAGCAAGAGACTTCGGCCGCCATCGTGCGAGGAAAGAATAGCGAGGCAGCCGAGGCAGCGAGCTTGTGGCAACTGCCCTCAAAAAACCCTGTGAAGCTTCTGCCGAGCAGTGGCGCTGCGCCATGTGCGTCGCGCTGTGTGCGTCGCGCTGTGTGCGTCGCCCCTTGTGCGTCGCGCCGTGTGCGTCGCGCCGTGTGCGTGCAGAAGGGCAATCGTTTGCTCGCGAAATTGGAAGACCTTTATGTCGTCACTTGCCCAGTGAGGGCAAGGCGTGTTCGACCCGACCAACCAGGCGCCGCCAACTTGTACAAAAGTGACTGCGGCTGTCACATGAACTTCCCTAGTTGGGCCCTCTCCTACACTGGCGAGCGCTTGGGCATCGAAGTGGCCCGTCGCCCCAAGGGTGACGGTGCTTTTGTTACATTGGATGCATGCAAATGTGACACCAGCCCTTCTTATTGCCAACTCCGCACATTGGATGCTTGCCAGGGACTGATGGTTTGGGCCATTGTTGGCTGCGTTCGGCGCCTAAAATGAAGACTGGAGCGAGACGATGCACTGGATAAGCTTTACTTGCTGAAGTCACACCTTTTGTGATCTCTCTGTCGACAAACACGCAACCAAAAAAGCTCGAGACAACTGAAGTCAGTGGCCCAGCTGCCACTAAAAAAGAAACACGTAGAGGAGCAACAAAGCTAAAGCGTCCCGGCAGCACGCGTCGAAGCATCGCACGTGCACGGATGGCGGTGCACGAGGGTCCCCTGAACAAAGGCATCGATCGTCGGGTCTTCACCGAACGCCACACGCAATCCACCAAGTCGACATAACGGCAACAAGAAGCGAGCAAAGAGAGTTGTCAAGAGGAAAGGCCGTCCTCAGGCGCTGCCTGCGGGTGCAACATCATGCACAACGAACAAGGCACGCAAATCTATCACCAAAAGCTCCGCATCGAGGACGGACCGCACGTATTCCAGGCCCGAGTTGCGCGCATGAGTCGGCAAGAAATCCGACCCCCCCTCCCCCACCTCACAAACAATGCGCACACCGTCACTACTCTCAAAACAACCAAGGCCAGCAAAACAATGGATGAGGCGCAAGCTTAATCCAGTGGCGGAGCAGCCTTCAATCCGATGGGTTTCCAAACAGCTACGGAAGGCGTCGCAGATTGCAAACCGGAAAACATGGACTGAGGTCAATGAAGTAACGTCGTGCACCAACGTGCCAGCCACACACTCAGTCGTTTTTCCACCTCCTCGGTGTAGCATTATCAGGAAGCCCAGCTGCTATTTCACAGCAAAGCCGGCATCGGGAGCATTAAGTGGGCAAGGAACTCTTTGGCTCCTTGCAGCCGAACGCGAAGCAATGGTCAACTTGATCCAAAACAACAACACTGAGTGAAGATCAGCATGTGGAAAGTACACGTGGTATTTTGCCCTTCAAGCAAAACCTATTAAATGCAGCTGCTCAGATTCCATGATGGACAGCGTTCTCCTGCTTCCTGCAAACGCCAGCGCGCGCTGCAACGCAAATGCACTGCGTGGCTTTTGGGCGAGAGACACCGTAACACTCAGCATCACGGGCAGTGCTTTGGCAGGCTCCTAAGCCAAGGGTGTCGTTCCATCGACTGCGTCACGATTTTGTCCTCGCCACAAAGGCATGGAGCCAGGTGCTTTAGCGCGAGAGAATATCAGCTGCAAAGCAATGCGCGCCTCCATGCTGACATCACAAAGGTCGCCATCTTGAAGCTGCCTCAGCCTCGTTTGAGACATGCAGTTGTCAGGAAAAAATATTCGGCTCTGAAAGGCCTCTCACGAAGTACACCAGCTGCCTCAGCGTCGCACAAAGCGCTCTGCTTCAGACCTTCTCTCTGTTTCTCCTATATACATTGATATATCTATATATAAGTATATATATATATATGTATAACATATAATTGTCTCTCTCTCTCTCTCCCTCACTCTCACACAGCTTCCTTTCGGCGAGCCGGGGGTCCCGACTTCATACCGCCCACCACGAACAAGCCTGATTCCGGTCATCAACGCTCATTGCCATACAAAGACATCAGTCAGCGGACAACGACATGGCATGCTCCAGTCGTTCTTGCTGAACACCTAGCGCAAGGCTCATGCGAAGCCATCAACACGAAGCGTTTCTTCAAGCCTGAGATCTCCTCAGCCCATGATGCCAATAGCGCCTGTCGTAGATGCGGATTGTATTTGATATACACAAATCAAACAAGGAGTTTATTTGGAAGCGACTCACAAAAGGCCTCGAGTTGCCCAGGGTCGAGACCATTCCAGTCTTCCAGCAGCAAGAAGGCCTTCATCGCAAGGGTGTGTGCGTGTGTGCGTTGTGTTTGTGTTTGTCGGTGTCTGTGAACTGCGAATACCTGTGAATGTTTGTGAATGTCTGATGAATCTGATGCGAAGTGTGCGTGCGTGTCAAAGTACACGTGTCAGGGTGCAAACGCGTGTGTTTGTGTGCGTGTGTGTGTGTGTCTGTTTGTCACTGTGTAAACGTGTGCGCGTGTTAGTGTGTAAGCGCGCGTATGATGTGTGTGTGTAAACGTACGCGTGCGCGTGTGTGCGTGTAAACGCGCGCGTGTGTGTGTGTGTGTGTGTGTGTAAACACGCGTCTGTGTGTGTGTGTTAACACACACGCGCGTGTGTGTGTGCTGCGCGTGTGCGTGTGTGTGTGTGTGTGTGAGCGCGTGTGTAAGATTGTGTCACATGTGTGTGTGTGTGCGTGCGTGCGTGCGTGCGTGCGGGGGTGTGGGTGTGGGTGTGGGTGTGGGTGTGGGTGTGGGTGTGGGTGTGGGTGTGGGTGTCGGTGTGGGTGTTTGTGTGCGTGTGTGTGTGTGTGTGTGTGTGTGTGTTTGTCACTGTGTAAACGTGCGCGCGTGTTAGTGTGTAAGCGCGCGTATGATGTGTGTGTGTGTGTGTAAACGCACGTGGGCGCGTGCGTGCGTGTAAACGCGCGTGTGTGTGTGTGTGTGTATGTGTTAACACACACGCGCGTGTGTGTGCTGCGCGCGTGCGTGTGTGTGTGAGAGCGCGTGTGTAAGATTGTGTCACATGTGTGTGTGTGTGCGTGCGTGCGTGCGGGGGTGTGGGTGTGGGTGTGGGTGTGGGTGTGGGTGTGGGTGTGGGTGTGGGTGTGGGTGTGGGTGTGGGTGTGGGTGTGGGTGTCAGTGTGGGTGTGGGTGTGGGTGTGGGTGTGTGTGTGTTTGTCACTGTGTAAACGTGTGCGCGTGTTAGTGTGTAAGCGCGCGTATGATGTGTGTGTGTGTAAACGCACGTGTGCGCGTGTGTGC